GGTTGAGTCTTGTTCACTTACTTATGTATAAACGTGCAATAAATGAACATACATGCCATAGCTTATTTCTCTATTTTTTTAATGTAGGAGGGAAATGCTAGAAAAAGGGGGAGAAACTGCAAAATTCAAAAACCTATTCCAGCTAAAACTAAGCACTGCAACATTGGCCTCTTCAGACCAAAACAATCATCCTTTTTGCTTCAAAAATAGAGCAGATAATTTTATGACAAAAAATAAAGCCAAATTTTTATGTAACAGCAAATAAGAACTTGGTCACGTTTTAAGTAAAATATGCATATTTAACATGATTTATTAGAAAAAATGTACTGTACACTTGCCCACCGTCTGTTATGTTCTGTTATGATATTTTCAGCAATCTTCTATTTTTGCAATCTTAAAACAACATTTAGGACTACTGGATGCCAGATGGAATTTTTCCTTTCCACCCACTTCCCAGTGCAAAAGCAAAAAAAAGGTTCTTTGCATCCTACATGGAAATCTTTTATAAATTCCTTTTCCTCATCTTTAGCAACCAAAGCATATGAATGACTCAGAAATCACCAAACTTTGCCTCAATCAGTATGAGGCAAATATACAGCACAGTAACTTGTATTTAAAGTGAACATATCTGCCTGCACAGTGTTTATTAACAAAGGGTATTCACATTATATGTGTGAGCAAAATTCATTTCTAAAAAAACAGGACTGACTCCAAGCCAACTTTTTAAAGAAAAATGGTGATATAACAGTGTATTTTAGGGAAAAGGTAATAAATTAGAAGTGAACCATCAGTGGACATTCTGTCTTCACTGGAACTGAAGTCCCCTGACTTCAACTGCCCACAGCAAATCCTTTGCATGCATGCTGGTTACTGTTTAATGTGAAATTGACAGAGTGGACGGTGAGGAAAGGGGGACCAGAAAGCTTTGAAGGAGTGAGTGTGACCCATTCCCCTCCTTCAAATCCGTCCCCACACTGCAGCAGAGGAATCTGAAAAATTTGAATCTAATTATTTGCTTAAATTGTACATGCTTAAATTCTACACAAGAGCTTGCTATTGCCCTTAGTACATATGTTTAGTTAAACCCACAGGTCCTGCATCCTCCAGCTCCTGCACCTTCTTCACCTGGCCCTGCCTCTTCCATCCACAGCATCCATAGTCCACACTTAGGCTCCAGCTGGTTGGTTCTGCTTCTAGAGCTGCCTCTCTTCTGCACACCAGGCCCCTTGTGTCATCACAGGTGTTCTTTCCTCTGCCTGGAATACCCATCCCTCCTCACATTTCATAGTTCTCCTGACCCTTCAGATTCTGTCTCTCTCTCTCAGGGAAATGTGCGTGACTCCCTAGACTAGCCAAGGTCCCTGTTAAACACTTCCACAGTACTTGGATGCTGACCACACAGGTAAGCTGTGAATTCAGTCTCTGAGTTTCTCGCAGAACATCAGCTCATGAGGTCAGAGGTGTATCAGGGCAGTCCTTCTGGAACCAAGGCACACTGTAAGTTGCTACCTATGTTTCTCTACTTCTTAATATCTCTTTTTATTTTTCTAAACCTTGGTAGTACACAGTTATCATGAACTCCATCTGTCTGTGCATCCTTTCCCTAAACTTTTTGCCTTAAAGCACTCATTATAAGCCCAAATAAAACCAGAATGCCAAAAGTTTCTAGTGTTGCCTGATCAGACACCAGACTATACGGTAGTAACATTGTTATATTAATGCAGATCAGGCCTTGATGGGGGTAGAGAAGAAAAGAATATAAGGTCACCTGGGGTCTGGAATGAGATATATCACTGGGGGAGGAGGGTGAGGGCAAAAAAACAACGAAAAAATAAACTTTTTTCAACACTTCACTTTAACAATTTCTCGACCATATTGCAGATGATATGGCTATTTTAATTTTACAAGAATAAGAACCGAATAAAGCTAGGAGCAGCATCTGTACGGCAGGAAATAAAAAGACCCTTTGATAACATGAGTTTGATAAATCGTACTGAACCAGTATTCGCGTTCTTGATTGGGCCTTTTAAAATCAACTTGAGCAAAAAAAATAGCATAACAAATTCTTCTCTCTTCAAAAACGCTCAAACTAATTTTTAAAAAATGTTAGGACTTGCAGTGGGCTTCTTGCAAGAACCTAAAAATACAGCTAATGAGCAGATGGCTCCACCAGACAGCAGGAGCACACCACTGACTTTCACTGGCAGTTAACTGCTATTTTTCTGGAGGAAAAGCTAGAATTTAAAGAGCACACAGAGTGAACCAAACTTGTAAACCTTGCTCCTAAGTAAATGAGAAGAGCATGGTTTGCTGCAGTTGTGAAATGTGTTTGCCAGATTCTACTTTCCTCTAAATGTCTTATTTAGACACTTCATTAAATGCTGTCTTGAATGGTTAACTGTTTTCCATGTATAAATTCTTTCCCCAGCTAGACTGTAAACTTCTTGGAGGAAAGAACTAGCTTCTACTTGGCCATATTATTCTCTATTAAAAATGGACTATAATAACTCACTCCAGGAAACCTAATTCTGATGAAAAGAGACTTTAATACCCAACCCAACACTAAGTCAGGATTTTGCTATTAAGGAAAATAACCTGAGGTGATTTGTCAGTTTATAGGTGGGCAACTTAATGTATTATGAATTGCCTGTTACACCCTAGTTCTGACTTTCAATTCTATTACAATAACATTAGAAAGTTCTGCTTCTCTTTAATAAGCAGTTTCTTGGTTAAACTAAATTACTGACAAACTTCAAATAATGCTGGGATTCCTTGAAACTTTACTCACCCTGATGTGTAAGTTTGAAAACAACGATAAAACCTCTCTTCCTTTTAGTATTTCATATAAAGTAAAAAGAGGATTTTCACCATATATTTAACTGCTTAAAAAAAGAGACAAAATGAAAGTTGGAAAAAGGTAGAGACCAACTTATAATACGTAAAAAGAAGAGTGACAGCGGCCAGAATACTCCAAACCACTTCTCCCCTAGTAATCCTTAAACAAGGAACCCTTTGACGTAGGCAGAATTCCAGGATGAGGCTGCAGGAAACAGGGGAAAGGAAATTCCGGTTGAGGCTGAGTGATAGGGACCCTACCCTGGCAGCAGACTATGCCAAGATGCAGTTTCAGAGTGTGCAAAATCCCCTTCCCACCCATCCATATTTCATGAGTGAATTAGAAAAGGGGAAGGAAGTAGGGTGGGTTCCCAGACTTAACAAAGGAACAGAAGAAAATGGGGTGGGGAGGGAAGGGAGGGATACAGACAGGATCCCTAGGGAAAGTATTGCTGAACAAGGTTTTCACATACATTTTATAGACACTGCTTATTTCTACAGCTGGAAGTTAGGAAGTCAGTTTAGAAGCTATTGTTGGTATTTCGAATCTACAGTTTAATACACTACAAAGCATAAACTACATTTCAGGAAAAGTACAGGCTCGGTTTTCTGGTAAATAGTGTAGCTATATTCCAGAAAATAGGACCCACTTCCATCTAGACATATACTTTAATGTAACTATTTTACTGAAACTAAAATGTGAAGAGTTTATGAGCTTTTCAAATCTAAGTTATGACTCTAACTTTTCTTTTTCTGCCTCCCTACTCCCCGCTGTCCACCACGTAGTCTTTCTGTCTCTGGCCTCCAGGGCTGCCCTCTCCACGAATGCCCTCTTTCGCAGGACTGATGTGGTGCTGGTCACCTTGGCTTCCTGGCCACCTATCAGTCCTCACTCCAGAGACGAAGGCTGAAGGAAGACACCCTCCAGAGGCAATCACTTGAATTCACTCTGGGCGCCAAGTCTGCCTAATCACTCTTCAGCTCCCTCACTATTCAGTCACACTGAAATAATATAACTTATCTCATGAAGGCCCTGCCTTAACCATTTTCCTTTGGAAAAGGTAGAAAACCAAATGCTCAGTTGGTCCTCATTATTTCTAGAATGAAGGGAACCTTCTCAGCCCTCAAAATCCTCCACAGTCTGGTCCCAATCTCATGTCTCATGAAATCTTCACTCCCCTTCCACACCCTCAACTCTTGGTATTCTGGCAACATGAAATCATTTCAGAGTTCCAAAAAAAATCCTGTATTTTGAGATCTCTGTGCATTTCCTAATGCCATTCTTCCCACTAGGAATACTTTTCTTCAATGTGGATTCTTTAAATCCAATCCGAAACCTAATTTAAGGTCTGGGTCAAACTCTACTTCTGCCCTAAAAAAGAATCCTGTTTCCTCAGCTGTAAATTCTTTTTCTAACTCCTATGTATCTCCCTTGGGATTCTCTTCACTGCTTCCTGGTATCTCAGTTATTCATGTTGGTATCTTTTCTCCAAAACTAGACTGTACTTCTTGAGGGCAGGAGCCACCATAGTTAGTCTGGCTCTTCTACGATATCAGCTTAAATGAAAGTTTAGTGAATGAATCGATGACAGAGTATTCTAGAATAGAAGTATAGTAACACCAACTCAAGACTACAGAGATCAGGAGAGCAACCCCAAAATCCTAGTGAATTCTGAGGAAGGCATAGATATTGCAGCAAATGCCAAAGCTCTAGCCAAACATGTCAGTTAATTTGGGAACTACTCTGATTAAGGTATTTTCAAAGGGTTCTGAAAAGAAAAGTTTATGTAGTCCCCATACTGTTTGCCAGAACCCCCACCTAACGATTTGTCAATGAGACAAATACTAACGTCTGAGTCACCTGAAGCAAACTGCAGGCAAACAAAGCAAGGTAAATGGCTTATGTAGCTTTTTGGAAAAGGTCGTAAAAAATAGAACATTCTTATGTCTGCCACTATATCAAAGAATCTTTAAAAACTGCTTAATATAAAATAGCATGTACATCCTCCATTACCAGTCACCGAATTCTGTCCATTTTACTGCATAAATGACTCTCCACATTTACTCCCTTCTTGGTTCTTATGGTTACTGCCCCAGTTCAGGCTGGCACCTCTCACCTGACACACTACAGTAGCTTTCTAAAGGTTCTTTCCAACATTTTCCTCTTCTTCACTCAATTTTTTCTCTAAAGTAATGCCAGAGAGAACTTCCAAAGGCCACATCTGATTATGCCACTTCCCTTCTTTGATGGCTTTCCTTTGCCAAAAAGGCAAGTTTAAACTCCTTAGGGTAGCTTACTAGTCCTTCAGAATGGAATTTTAGGCTGACTCCCAGCCCACCCCTCTCCATTCCCTATGAATCACCAGGAGTGCAGTCATGTGTCTTCCCGAGGGTCCCTCTGCCTGAATTGCTGTCCCCTGCCTTCCTCTATGACCATCAGTCATTCTTCAGGGTCATGCTCAAAAGTCCCCATGTGATAACACGTGCCCCTACCACTGTTGGTATAGTCACAGAATTAAGGCTAGCAAAGACAATGCCTGCATAAGAGATAGTGTCCTTAAAGAACCAGCAACTCAATGTTAACTCTACTATCATAATGTTTAGAAGACACAGCCCATTTCTTTCCCCTTCTGAAAGTCCTCCCATAATAATTTTCAACACATAGGAATGAGTGCTTGCTAATTTTGCCTACAGCTAGTTAGAAAATAGAAAAACAGAGTGCTTCCTGAGAAACCTGTGACAATAACACAGTTAACTTTTTAAATTTCAGAAACACCTTGGCAAAAGCACAGAGTGAAGCATTTCTCTAATGTCATGCATTTATAATCATAGCAGTAAGCAGTTAATATTAGAAATGCCTACAGAGAAAGCTGTAATCCCCTTCAATTTGTAACAAGATGTACCAGCAACAAAAGCTTTATTCTATCAAATTCATGTCTTTCCCTACGCAGTAGTGCTGCAAATTAGCTTTCTCTTTGGCATCTATGTGGCATTCTAGAACTGGAAAAGTAATGTAGGTTAGTCAAAAGAATGACTCAATAGGCAACGTGGATTCTAACTCAAACTTTATCACTGTTACTTAACTAGCTTTGGCCCAGATGAGGTCAATGAAGCATTTTAAAATCATAAAAGAAAGGAAATCTGTATATAACTTCAGGGTTTGGTCATTATTGTTATAACAAGAAGAGGAAACTGCAAAACTAGGTTTATGTTAAGTAAACTGCAGTTTCCTCTGTCCATGCTGTGTGTTGGAACTGAGTTTCTATGAAGAGCAGATGACAGCTATTATAAAGAAAGCGAGGTCAGGAAAAATGAAAATGCTACACCACGTTCATGAACCCTGTGAGGCTAACGGGTAAGCAAAGGTACAGGCACATCAAACGCCCAAGACATAAAAGACTGAAATGAATTAGCGGGTGGTTTTTATCCCTAATAAATTACTGTAAAAATGTAAGCATCTAGTACCAAATAATTCATAGATTCCACTGGTGTCATCCTGCAGAAGGGAGATGACAGGATAGCTTAGTTTATATTTATCACTAGATCCCTAATATTCCTTTCCTTATTTTAAGCTTCACAGAAAAGTCTACATAGAAAAAGTCCTAATTCCAATGTTAATTTACACACCATCTTTCCTCTCAGAAACACAAATGTTTCATAGCTGTTAATGCATCCATAAGACAGTCATGCAAGAAGTAAAAAACGTTAGTGGTCTACAAACGAAATGAAGGTGTAACGGTAACAGCAGATAACCATAAGCAAAGCTGTAAATCTTCAACAGTAAATTTCTGCCTCATGTTAAAAGCCTTGAAAATTATCAGCCCCAAGTTTAGATTTCTATAGTTACAGATGTGGAGAGTATTATAATTTTATTGGCTGTAACTACTTACAATATTCTGGCTTGAACTAAATATACAACAAAGACAACATACAGGTATCTTTCTAATAAGCGCAAAGTTGTTTTGTGGCCTAAAGCTTATGATTTCTAACTTTGGAGCCAACAGTTTGATTTTTGAAAGATCTTACCATACCTCAAGTTGTCACTGGTTCACTGCACCTAATTTGCAATCAGTTGTAAGATATAGCATTCATTTTAATGACCATAAGGAAAGAAAAATGTTCACAATTTAACTATGACATGTTTTCATATCATCAATTGTTAAGACTCTTGTGGGGAAAACATGCATCTTGAAATCAATAAAATATGGCATATGAAAACTGTTGCTCATCTAATTAAAATGAATCAAAAGGAAATTTTTTTAGAAATTTAAGTCACACATTAGGATATTCAAATATCCTAAGGACGCAGCAGAGATTGAGTAAATCTGTGATACAGTCAACCTTCAGGGTGCTTATCACAACTTGAACAAGGTGCTCAATTTTTCAACAGTACCCAGCAAAGTGAAGGTTGCCTGAGACCTACATGACACTTAAAGTCAATAGTCACCTCTGAAATAGTTCAATCACAAGGCTTTGAAACTGCCTAATTATTCTCTTTCTCGAGACACCAACTGCTACAATTCGACATCTCACTGCTAGAGAAGTGCTGTGTTATTAAACTAAGCAGCCAGCCAGACTTGAGCATCTCACTCCTCTCCTGCTCACAGAAACCTTGCCATTTGTATTAATAGACCTGGAGCAGAAAAAGCATGAAGCAATGTTTTCCCCCCTGAAAAGGATTGCACGGAAAAATTAAAGTCAGAGAAAGACACATAGCACAGGGGAATTTTCCCCTTCATGAGCAGTCCTGGAGAGTGCAGCACTGAAAGTGAAGTCTTACAACCAACAACAACAAAATCAACAGATAACAATGTGTGGCACAAGAAAGTGGTCCCATTGTCTTCCCAGCATGATGGCAGCATTCTCAGTTCTAAGGCTCTATCTGAATAAATGCTTTCAGGAGGACCAAGCGGAACGTCCCTTTCCTCCAGTTTTAACTGTATTCAAACAATATAAGTCTTGTTGGAACACAAGCCTTCATAAGATGCTGGGAAATCTCCCTTCTGACCCTCCCACTTGGTGAGAGCATTTATAATCTGTTTTCATGTTTTTATCTATTTCTAGTGACTTAGGACACATTCATTTGGCAACTAGATCCACCTCTGTACTAAACATAAAAATACGTTGAAATGTTTTCTTTCAAAAGTCATGTTCTACAAACTACATGATAAGGCAAAACTTCCAAAATCAAACTTGAAAACCACCCAAGCAGGATCATAAATAGATAGGCATTCATATTTGCTTAAATGTATTCTCGTATTTCTACATAATTTACTTTTGAGAAGTCTCTTATAAATCCAGTGTCATAAGCCACTTGCTTAGAGCTACGAACAGCTGTCATTTTTACTAAGGAGGATGCTCTTGGGGAAAAAAACCCCAAAACCTAAAGAATTTAAAATAAAATAGTCTTTCGTTCAAACATGCAATCAGGCAGAAACATTTTCCACCTCTAAAAACCCAAAACATAAAGAATTTAAAATAAAATATTCTTTCATTCAAACATGCAATCAGCAGAAACATTTTCCACCCCTTGAAACCTGCATCCCCAAGAGGCAGAAGGCTTACGTGTTCAGACTTCTGTTCTTTTTTGTCCGTCTGCAAAAACTGATAGTTGTCTCTTGCCAGCTTCTGGACTAGTTCAATTCGTCCGATTTCATCTCTCTCTTGAAGCTTGCACATCACCCCTGCCTTAAGAGTTGGAGAAAACGCGAAGATATACTTAAAACCACAGTCCCAGGACATGACACCACTGCAAAGTTCACCTTATAATAAGCTCATCTTTTCCACTGCCTGGATTAAATCATGGTCTTGGTAAATATTTTGCCATTCAAAAACTGAAGTTACAATATTTTAATCTAGGAGCACCATGCCAAAAGACTTAATGTTGAGTCTGCATATCGTTCTACTTTAAGAGGGTGAAGGACAGAGCAAACTAAATCATTTGCTACTAAGTGTGCGCCTGATATGCCCCTGTTTGTTTGTTCCTGACAGCCTGTTTCCTGTTACATAAGCAGAGCCTAGCAAGAGGTTAAAAACTCATGGGAAAGTTAGCCAGGAACCACACTGGTGAAAGGGTGAACTGATACAGAGCCCTAAAAATAACACCCTAATTCTTTAGCTCCACACCAAATTATTCCATATATAAAAAAACCCTGAACAAGAAGATCACATGATGATATTTTTCACAACTGGAAAATTACTATGGGGCATTAGTAAAATGCCACTAATAGTGCATAAAAGATGGTGAAACATTTTACTAAAAATAAGAGATTGCAAAAAGAAAGCTTGAAATTTCATTCATTGGGGTTTGGAAATGATCCATAAAGCATCTATTTTATATAAGGTCAAAGCACCTAAATAATAATAAGAGGAAAGAGGTGAATCTAAGACTCTGAAATAGAAAAAAAAATTCATTCTAACACACTAATTATGAACTGTTTCTGCTCAAATTCTTTCCAAAATGGTTCATATTGACATACCAAGACCTGATCTAATAAAGAAATCCAAAGTTATACTTGGCAGGAACAGTCAAAACTATGGAATCCAATCCATAACCTATTGGATTTGAATATACTCTGTAACATGACCAAATACAGCAAAGGGGCTGGCAAAGAATCCAAATTTCATGATCTTAATGGTTTGTGCTAAAGATACCCATGTTGTTGAGTGGGCAGCAGAGAAATGGAACCATCCATGCAAAGCAATGACTAAATCTTTATTCCAAAGGGCAATGGTATCTCTTTATCTAGCAGTTTGTCCAACTAAGAAGGAAACAAAACATTTCTGAAGTGGGTCACATCACAGACTCCTAGAGGACAAGTGGAATTCCTCCACCAAAGTCAGAGATTTTTACAACATAACCTCACAAGTGGTTTTTCAGCTCCTTTCTAAAGTTTCCTTGGACAGGAACCTAAGTTTATCTTAAGACAGTCTGTGCCCTGTTGGATAGCCAGGATTGTTGGAAAGTCCCTTATTCTTATCATACTAGACAAAACTTTGAAACCATTTAACTTCAATCCATGAGGACTAGTTTTGCCTTTTAAAGCAATGGAAATGAGGCCTATTCTTTATCCAATGTGACAATCTTTCAAAATATTTAAATACAAATATTTATTATACTCTCCTTTTAATACTTTCCAGATATATATCTGATATGGCTTGGTAGCATCCCCCACCCAAATCTCTCATCTTGAATTGTAGTTTCCATAATCCCCAAATGTTGTGGGTAGAACCAGGTGGAGGAGACTGAATCATGGGGGCAGGATTTTCCTGCGCTGTTTTTGTGATAGTGAATAGGTAAAGGGGAGCTCCCCTTCATACGTTGTCTTACTGCTGCCATAAAAGACATGTCTTTTCTATTCCTTTGCCTTTTGCCATGATTGTGAGGCCTCCCCAGCCATGCTGAACTGTGAGTCAATTAAACCTCTTTCCTTTATAAAGTACCCAATCTCAGGTATGTCTTTATTAGCAGCATAAGAGAAGACTAATACAATATTCCTAGTTCCCTAAATTATATTATTTATTCATTCACTCAACAGAGTGAAGGATTTATTTGAGCAAGAACCTACTATAAGTTCTGAGGATATGGTAGTGAACATAAAACAACAAAGTTCTGGCCAGGTGCAGTGGCTCACGCCCGTAATCCCACCACTTTGGGAGGCCAAGGAGGGTGGATCACCTGAGGTCAGGAGTTTGACACCAGCCTGGCCAACATGGTAAAACCCGCCTCTACTAAAAATACAAAAAATTAGCTGGGTGTGGTGGTGCACACCTATAGTCCCAATTAGGAGGCTGAGGCAGGAGAATCGCTTGAACCTGGAAGGCAGAGGTTGCAATGAGCTGAGATCGCACCACTGTATTCCAGCCTGGGCAACAGAGCAAGACTCCGTCTCAAAACAATAAAAAACAAAGTTCGCCACATCATGAAGCATACATTCATAATGTAACATACCAATAGGAAATATGGAGTGGTAACATATGACAGAAAAAACAATGAAGTAGGGTAAGAGGACAGAGAAATAATTGAAGGCATTATTAAGATAAAAAGATCAAGAAAGGATTTTCTAGTAAAATGACATCTGAATGGTGACCTAAAGGAAATGAGGAGGAGGTGCTGTGGATATCTAGAAGGAAGTGTGTTTCAGGCAGAGGAACAGCAAGTACAAGGGCCCTAAGTCTCAAGTGTGTTTGACGTGCTCATGGATGAGCAGAGAGCGCAGCAGGGCTAGAGGAGAGCCAGAAGCAGCAGACTGGTGACACTGGTTGAGAGGTAATGCAGGAGCCCAACACATAATTTCCTCATAGGCTGTATAAGGAGTTTGGATTCTTTTTCTGAATAAGACAGAAATCCTTTGGAAGGTTTTGAACAGAGAATTAGCAAAACATGATTGACATTTTAGCAGGATCATTGTGTGTTCTGGGTTGGACGTGGGAGAAGTAGTTGATGCTAGAACACCAGTTAGGTGCCTGGTTTTCACGAGACATGGCTTGGAACATGTGCTAGTGGTGAAGATGGTAAATGTGGCTCTAACCAGTAGACAGATTTCACAGGTAGAGCCAGCAGATTTTGTTGTTTGGGAGTCTCCAAAATATTAGGCTTGAGTAACTGGAAGGATGGAGTCGTCATGGGAGATGTGGGGGTTGGTCTGGGAAAGAAAATGGCTATTTGACATCCAAGTGGAGTTGCTGGTTGGAAGTCTGCAGGTTCAGGGGAAGTCCAGTCTGAAGGTATGAATTCAAGAGTCATCAGAGTGCAGATGGTATTCCTCTGGTTTTACCAATGGAATGATGTAAATCCAGGAATGAAGTCTAGTGTTTTGATATTGGGAAGATGAAGAGTAATTAATCAGAAAAGGTGACTGAGGAGGAGTGGCTCCAGGAAAAGAATCTGGAGAGTAGTGAAGCTGTCTCAAGAAGGAAGGAGTGAAAAACTCTATCAAATGATGCTGAAATGTCAAACAAGGTGGGCTCAAAATAGCTGACAGTGATTTGACAAAGTAATTGATAACTTCAAGTGGAGCAATTTCTGTTTGAACCGATAGAGACAAAACCTTCAATAGCATGGGTTCAACAGGAAACAGGACACAATTCTTCCAAAGAGTTTTGTGACAAGAAATGAGGCACTAGCTTAAGAGTGACCTTGAAGAGAGTTTGGGTTGCTTATTTACTTAACATGAGGGCTATTCCAGGATATTTACCTTTATTAGAATTCCAGTAGACAGCAAAACTTCATGACATGGGAAGGAGAAAGGGGCATTTTCAAGAGTTATGTTCTTGAGTAGGAAGGAGAAGATAAAGATCTACTCTCAGGAAGAAATATGAATATAAATACTTCATCCACTGAACAGGAGAAACAATGAAATACAGGGGTAAATATGTGGGTATGTTGGCATATTTGGTGTTAGAAACATGCAGAAATTCTTTTCTGAAGGCTTCTATTTCTCAGAAAAATAAGTAGCAAGTTATTAACTGAAAATAGGAAACTGTGGGGGAACTGCTCCTGGAGGCATAAGAAAAGAAGGCACGTTAATAGTCATTCAGGTTGCAGGCACTGGCAAACTATTTTGTAAAGGACCAGACAGTAAATATTCTAGGCTTTGTAGGCCACAGGGTCTCTGTGGCAACTGCCCAATTCTGCAAGAGATCATACATAAATGTATGAACACAGCACGTTCCAATGACATTTTATTTATAAAAACAAGCAGTGGGCTATGGTTTGTTGACCCCTGGACTAAGAGAAGAGGAAACTGGACAAGGGAAGTAGAATAAAGATTGCCAAGCATTACTAAAGGCCCATCTGATTTTCTTTTTAGATCCTTTCACGCTCCTAGCCATCCTCCGTAAGGCATATTTCTGTTTGTCAGGAGTTTAATGCAGTCCATAATCTGAGACAATGATAAATATATGGGTCTATCATGAGGATGCTCTTTTAATCTACGCTAATGAGGATAAAGGAGTTTCAATGGTGTTATAAAATAACTATCAAGGCAGGGAAATGGGCAATTTCTACTTACAAATAAACATTCTTTAAATGCTTTGACACTTAAATACGTTTCTGTTATCTAGAAAATGCATGTATGTCAACCAGCGAGGATTTCGTCTCTCTCCTTCCATGTCACCTGCACAGTGTTTAATATACTGTCTTGCTGGGCACAGTAGCTCAGGCCTGTAATCCCAGCACTTTGGGAGTCTGAGGCAGGCAGATCACGAGGTCAGGCGTTTGAGACTAGCCTGGCCAACATGGTGAAACCCTGTCTCTACTAATAATATAAAAAATTAGCTGGGCGTGTTGGCGGGCACCTGTAATCCCAGCTACTTGGGAGACTAAGGCAGGAGAATCACTTGAACCCAGTAGGCGGAGGTTGCAGTGAGCCAACACTGTGCCATTGCACTGTAGCCTGGGCGACAGAGTGAGACTCAGTCTCAAAAATAAATAAATGCATAAAATAATAACAGTAATAATATACTGTCCTGTCGGTAGAGGGAGCATGCTAATGACCTTCCAAACTGCCAACCTGGAAACCTGCTCCATGGTTTATTCAGTGGTGTGATGGGCTAGACCTGATCTTGCT